CACACTCAGAGGACACCATTTAAAGCTGGCCACACAATACAGCCAGTTGGAATGCTGCCGGAATTTCTTTTCTCTTCGTGTGTGCCAACACTGGAACGCTCTTCCCACATACGTTGTTTCTGCCCCCACGCTAACGTTATTCAAAAGACGTCTGGATGATTCGCTTATTCACTTACATTACGCTATATAATCAGTGATGTCTACGTCAACCAAACACGAACAAATGGTGCTCATTCTCAGCTTTTGGGCTTTACTACTTACACGCTTCTGCTGTGGAATATCGTTTCGGATAGATTACAACTGCATTCATCAATAAAAATCAGCCCAAGAAAGCGGCGCACGAGTAAGTGTTGACGTTTCTTTTGTTCTTATGACATACCTTCCCCATATTACTCTACATTAACAATTCAATACGCATGCTAAAATAATTTAATGAAGCAGGGTATCCGAATCGCTAGATGCTTGAATCGACGATTTACACTTATGTTTGCTTTCACTTCAACCATCCTACAGGACTTGTAAAGCTATCGTTTTTTTACCTGTAATATATCATTGTTCATTTTTTGGTCTTACAGACCTGACGCGAAAGGCAGCGAGGCGATTCACGCATGTAGATGGAAAGTCCAACGAGCTGATGAATCTGAAGATGCTGGACAGCCAGGTGCCTTATTCGCCTTCTTGCAGTCCGCAGTCCGCACAGAAGCCGGTGACCAGTAAGGTTACTTATCCGACATCCGTTAGGTATTCACAACAGATCACAGAAATGAGTGATTAGGGACTATGTAGCTGGTCACATTGGCTTGGACACAGCGCCGTACGAGCGCTTGTGGTATTTGACGAAAAACCAGAACTTTCCACGCTCCGAGACGCTGCCGCCGATTGTCCGCGACTGGTTATTCATCTCGCTTATAAAGCAAATGAGAATTATTCGCAGTTATCACCACACGGAAGGCATTCACAATGCGCAAGCTGGGGATACGCTCGATAGCATACAGTTGAGCCACGGCGCTATTGCTACTAGGTGATTCCAACATACCGGTATTCGAAACACTCGTTGATAATGTGCTTATACATTTATGTTACACTATATCGCCATTTCTGGCTGGGCGTCAACGTAACACAACCAATCAGTCTGCGAAGTTTAAATTTCTGATGACTCCAACAACGTTTGCTATTTTATTTGACGCTACATTTCTTCCCAAACTAAACACTTACATCCGATGTGCTATGACAAGCTTAATCATTTTAACCCTGTTAAACCATTGTTTCCACTGTGGGGCGTGATGTCACAATGTGGACAGACGTGACAGGGCTCAGCCAATGGGAATTGTGACCGTCTGCTGACATGGTGTGCCACTATGTACCAGAGCGTCACAGACACAGTTTCCAATGGGATATTATCATATCGTTAGTTGGACACATCCAATGTTTGTTCTCCCCCACTTGTGCGACTACATAATCCTAAGGCAGCGTGATATGACTGAAGTGCGCATGACACGTGTGCTGCGTGGAGCTGAGTGTGAGATCAACCACAAACTGGTGCGCACAAAATTTACAGATATCTTGTAAATCCATGTATCGTTCCCTTACGGTGATTCCGTGTAGGATGGGTGTGGGGAATCATATTTAGTAGGTTTAGCGGAAACTAGATGTTTCAGAATTTTTGTTAATAAATAACAATAACAAATAATATCCTTAACATCAATCCCACCATTTAAAAGATCTCCTTAATTAATTTGTAATAAGAAGATTGAAAAATTAACCAAAGAAACAATAAACTAACATAATATACCTTGGG